CCCTATTTCAAAAAAGTTCGCATCACATAAAAGACTTGTTTGATGGTCCTGAGTACTGGTCACATTGAGGTAGGATAGTAGGGACAGGGGTTGCACTGGGAGTATTAAAGTGGGGATGAGTAGGGTAGGTGGCCTATCCTGTCAGGACAACCATTGGCTGCCCCTACCAGCAATCACTGCGGGTCTGGTCCTAGGCCTCTACAACACCCTGGGCTTTTAAAAAAAAAGGAAAAATAAAAGGACTCGTTTCCAACTCTGCGGCGAGCCTCCAGAGGCGCACTAGAGGCCTTCGTCGGCTCTCACAAGAGTCGAGCCCGCGGATTGGAATATCCACTGGCAGATGGATTCTGATTCCAACGTTTCAGTTTCTCGCTGGGCAGGCCGGGTCTAAAGGTTCAAGCCCATCAGATTCTTCCTTTAAATGCGAGGGTGGCAAAGGTACCCACCCTATTAACCTGTGACACAGAGGTCTACGCACCTATGCATGTGGAAGCTTGGGGGTCATGAAGCCCGCTGCCCTGTGATAAAAACAAGTCACAGGTATGGAGGCCACAGGCCTACCGACCCTACCAGCCCAGAGGGCTCAGCCCCTTGCAAAACTCAGTAGAAAGGGGGGGGGGGTCTCCTGAAAGGTCTGTACTACTCTGTAGGCCTACAGGCTTGGACACATACCCACCTGAAACTTGCTGCCATGAAGTCCGCCCCCCCCCCCCCAATGAAAACAAGGTACATCCCTGGAGGAGAACTTATCTACCAGCCTGGAGGGCTTAGCCCTTGCCATACTTTCTGTTTTTTTTTTTTTTTTTTTGGGGGGGCGGGGGTGGAGGGCTGAAAGGCCTCAAGCAAGGTCTAACAGCCTTGGACGGCTACCCACATGGAAGCCTGCAGGCCCTTTAGTGAAGCCTGCCGCCCTGCTATGTTCATGGGACAGTACAACTTGAATGTCGATGGCCATCATCGCCACGGAAATGGCTGGGCTTACCCCTTTCTGCTGGCCATGCAAATGGCTAGGTTTAAACCACCAGTACCTTTCCCAACCATTTTGCCGTTTCACACCGGTGACCGCTGGGCCAGACACCTAAATGTGGACCGCTCCCTACTATCTCCAATTAAATGGTTCCAAGCACAAAAAGCCAAACCTATGAAAATCACTTTCCTACAATGGCAAATTGCCCACGGCTGCTTACCAACAAATGATTGGCTGACTGGCCACACTAATCTAGAGCAAATGGGGCTGCTGCACCCATGGTGCCTCAGATGCCAGAGCCTCTTTCCATTTAACAAAAAAGTGGAAACTATCGAACACATCTTTATGCAATGCCCAATCGCTCAATTCATACGGAGATGGTGGGACCGCATTTGGAGAAAGATGGGATCCGCAATTACGTGGCCTTGCGCAATTACGTGGCCTTGGTCCTGGCAAGCCATACTGGCTGGTCACTGGCCACAGGCAGAAGCTGCCTCGACCTTCACAGAAAATATGTTCAGACTCGGAAGGAGAGCATATGGGCACTCTGGTGGCAGCGATGTGTGCTTGCCCTGGAAAAACTGAGAGTAGAGGAGCCAGAAATCACCGAAGAGATTCGGCAGCAGATACATTTTGAACGCACACAAAGATGGCAAGACACAAAAGCACAGCTAGATCATTTTAAACAACGAGGAGACATCAGCAGACGGATCACAGCATTCTGCACAGACTGGGTAGGCGGAGAGAGAGAAGGATGGATAGCAAAAGTAGAATGGAGCGGAGACAAGAGAGAGGAACAGAGAGATTTGGAAGAAATAAGGGACTACCGCTTACTTTACAATGACTGGACTAACATTGAACCCTCATTTCCACTCCGCCCCCCCAAGGATTCTCCAGACCCTTTCCCGCCCCATGCCCTCTCCTTGACAAAAACCTTGACCTGATGTCTTCTCTACACTCTCTACACACCTCTGCTAGCATATAAAAGACCCCTCCCTGGAGCCCCCCGGGGAGGCTGGCTCCGT